CAACAGTGGACTCCTCTGCCTTCCTTGAATTTAAGGGATTTTAGCTCAGAGTTTATATCCTCAACTAATATGTTAGTTAAGGTAATGCTAACTGCTATAACAGGAAACCCCCCAAATCTTAGGGGTTTATCACATCAGACATTTATTTTTTACTTAGGTAACATTCAAAGTTTTTGATTGGTACTAGTTAAAGTGAGGGAGGCTCTGATACACTCGACACAGACATCTGAGCTCACTCTGACCATTGATATCCAGCTGGCAGAAGAGAAGGGATAAAGGAGGCACACTTTTTTTTAACCATCTTGGCTTGAAATTATTCCTACCACTTTTGCTCACATTGCATTGGCAAGGACTAACCATACCCTTCCTTAACCCCTACTCTATGTGCAGTGGAGACTGAGCAGGTATGGCTACGTGGGCGTGTGCAGCCCAAGACCCCAAGCTCAGAAGAACTCCATGTTGGGTTTAATGCTCTGCTATCCTATTTTGAAATTCTTAATAATTAAAATTAAAAAAGGGTTCTGCATTTTTACTTTGTACTAGACCATACATATTATTTAGCAGGGCCCGAGGCTGAGAAATATAATCTGTGACAGGGCAACCTATTTCCAAAGACAATTCTACATTATGGAAGTGGATTATGAGTATTTGGTAAACAATGAGCAATTTTTACCACACTTGAGTATTGTTTCCATGTTGGAAGCAAATAAGAGTCCACATGATATTTAAAAATATCTGATATTTAAGAACCCCCAGTAGCCAGGTGAAAAGAGTCAGAAAACTGATGCCGAACTAATGCTTTCGTAGATGACAGAATTCCACTAACTTGGCTAGGAAAAATTTAGAGTAGGAGCGTATCGTAATAGAATGGACATCTTGCACACAAGGTCCTATGGAAAGACAACATGGCCCAGATGTATGTGATGACTGTAACTACAAGAGAGCTTTTCTAGTACTTTGAATTAAAGAAATATTTAATAAGTATATAGTATGTGTCAGTCATTCATTTATAGTTGTGATACTACAGTTAAAATAGAAAAGAAAATCCCTGCTTCAGAGCTTATATTTAGTGCCATTCTTTTATATTTTAAAAACAAATTTATAGGACTATAACTGACATACAATAAACTGCATATATTTAAACATATAATTTAATATTAATTTAAAGTAATATAATTTAGCATGTATATATTACCTGTTATAGCCCCTCTTCACCCCATTCAATACCCAACCATTGATCTGCTTTTTATCAATATGGATTAGTTTGTATTTTCTAGATGTTTATATATATGTTCTATTTTTTTTGGTCTGACTGCTTTCTCTCAACATAATTATTTTGATATTTATCCACGGAATTCCACTATATAGATATATCATATTGTTTATCCATTTATTTGTTGATGGATATTTTGGTTGTTTTTCAGTTATTGACTATTACAAATAAAGTTGCTGTGAACATTGGTGTACAAGTTGTTGTGTGGAGATAGGCTTTCATATCTCTTAAGTAAATACCTAGGAATAGAATAGTTGGTATAGGTATATTTTAACTTTTAAAGAAATTGTTTAACTGTTTTTCAAAGTGGTTTTACCATTTACATTTCCTTCAGCAGTGTATGAGAGTTCCAGCTGCTCCATTAGTAGTTTTAATTTTTGAGATTTTAATAGGCATATAATGGTATTTAATAGTGTGGTTTTAATTTCCATTTTCCTAACTACTAATGATGTCTTCTATTCAATACAGTTTTTGTTATTTCTGCTTTATATGCTAATTATCTTTCAAGGAGAGTTAAATAATAAGAAAATAGTTTATATATTATCTATATAGTTTCTAATGTATTATTTTAGCTTGTGCATTTAAAAAATATTTTGCTTTCATTTTTGAAAGATATTTTTACTGGATATAATATTCTAGGTTGACAGTTTTATTTTCCAAGTACTTTAAAAATGCTGTTCCACTGTCTTCTTGTTTGTCTTGTTTCCAGTGAGAAGTCCGTTATCCTCATTATCTTTGTTCTTCTGTATATAATGTGACTTTTTTTCCTCTGACTGCTTAAAAACTTTTTTTTTTAAATATGGGTTTTAAGCAGCTTGGTTTTGATGTTCTTTGTTGTAGTTTTCTTCATGTATATTGTACTTGGTATTTGTTGGCGTCTAGGATTTGTGGGTTTATAGTTTTCATCAAACTCAGAAAAATTTGATCATTATATCTTTAAATATTTTATCTATCTGCCCTCTCTCTTTTGTAGATACCAATTACATGTATATTTAGCCACTTGAAGATGTTCCACAACTCATGGAAAATCTGTTCATTATTTTTTAGTCTTTTTTCTTTCTGTGTTTCTTTTTGGATAGTTTCTTATTCTATGTCTAAAAATTCACTAATATTTTCATCTGCAGCATCTGATCTCTTGTCATTCCCATATGGTTCATTTTTCATTCTGGCATTGTAATTTTAATTTCCAGAAGTTTTATTTGTATCTTTTATATATTTTCATGTCTCTACTTAACATGTTCAGTCTTTCCTCTAACTTAGTGAATATACAAAATACAGTTATAGTAACTATATAAATATCCTTGTCTACTACCAATCCCATCACCTGTGTTATTTTTGGGCAGAATTCTATTATGGGGCATAATTTTTATATACTCCAGGGAGACTCACTCTAGATCTCTAGAGCTCTGTCTGTAGCTCTCTCCTCTCTGGTTGCCCTTCCTTATGAATTCTAGCTGCGGTGACCTACCTAGACTTGCTCTGTTACCTCAATTCAAGGACACCTCTGGGCTCTACCTGGATTCTCCTTTCCTGTATCATCATTATTATTTTTTTTAGTTTTTTTTTTTTTTTTTCACGCAGAGGGGTAAGTCTGGTTGCTTATTCATCTTGGCTGGAAGTGAATGCTTGATCACCCCTTAGAATCTCACTACCACCAGCACCCCCCACCCCTGCTTAAAAAAAAAAAAGACACTGGAAGAAAATTGAATATTGGAGAAGAATATAAATTCCTTGCCCACAATTGATAGTCGATAAATGAATGATGTAGTTTGTTTGGAAGAGATACTTCTGGGAAGAAATGCAAAGGAGGAAGAGAAGCAGAATGTATTTGCATTCATCATGCCACATCTTGTTGTTGGGGATAAAAGAAGCAGAGCCTTCAGTGATGTCATTCATCAGATATTACTGGTTTAGAAAGCAACAGTAGCAAGTGTAGATATCAATGAAAGGAAGTATTACTGTATAGCAGAATGGGAACACTTCAATTTTTCATGCTAATGTCTTCATAGGAGTAAAAGAAAACACATTTTAGCAGATGCTAAAAAAAAGGTAAAATGTATAGTGTCTACACCATAAAATATTTTTGGATTGAGATGTGCAATTCGTGAAATAATGTCACAATACTTCAAAGACCAGTCTCTTGCTGCTCTGATCGTACCCTGAACTTCCTTTTTTCCTCACCTATGAAACAAAATGTTGCATGAACCAGTGATGTTTGGGGAGAACCCAGTATGTCGATGAAGACATTATCTTAGCTCTGTGGAATGGGGAATCCTGCAGCCTGAAAAAAATGGGAGACTGTTGTGCCTACCAGCATTACTGTGAGCACATTATTCATCACATTAAACGGAGGACCACTTAAAGTTTGGAAAAAAATAAAACATAGACTAAGCCACTGAGTATTATATCATTCTTGAAATACAAACTGTCCTGTACTTTTCTTTTAATCTACTTAAGTACCTGAAAAGGTTGTTTTGTTTAAAATTTTTAGTTTAATTTTATTTATTTATATTTAAAAATAACTTAGATTTTTTTCTGTTACAGTAGACATACAATATTATATTAGCTTCAGGTGTATAGCATAGTGATTAGACATCTGTATGACTTATGAAGTGATCACCCTGACAAGTCCAGCACCCATCTGACATCATACATATTTATTACAATATTATTGACTGTATTCCCCATTCTGTAGTTCACATCCTTATGACTTTTATAATTTGGTAATTTGTACATCCCAGTCCCCTCCTCTTTTTTGCCATCCTCCCAAACTCCCTTCCACCTGGCAACCATCAAAATGCTCTCTGTATCTTTGAGTTTGTTTTGTTTTGTTTGTTCATTTATTTTGATTTTTGGATTCCACATATAAGTGAAATCATATGGTATTTGTCTTTCTCTGTCTGACTTATTTCACTTAGCATAATACCTTCTAGGTCCATTCATGTTGTTGTAAATGGAAAGATTTCATTCTTTTCTATGGCTGAGTAATATTCTATTGTATGTATGTACTACATCTTCTTTAACTATTCATCTATCAATGGACACTTAGGTTATTTTCATATCTTGGCTGTTGTAAATAATACTGCAATGAACATAGTATTTTCAAATTAGTGTTTGGGGTTTCTTCAGATAAGTACCCAGAAATGCTGAAAAGGTTTAAGAAGGGATTTTAATGATTTAATACAAGAACTGTGCACAGAATTGGCAAGTCTGAAAAAAATTTTGTTTCTCCTTTAAACTATTGAATAAAGAATGGCAGAGTTTCTGAGATTGCAATATATGGCTTATTGGCATAAAAACCGTGTGTCACAAGGGCCATTTTAGACAATGGGAATGTAGCTTCATTTTTACCCACTGAGGTGAGATTCCATTCCACTGACTTTCACAACATAGCCCATGTCACTGAGTTGGGAACTAAGATGAGCTAACACCGTGGTTTCTATATGGTAGATGACAAACACTGCAATCTCCCTAATATATTTTTCAAATCAAAATAAGTATTTTTATAGTTACTTCTATATCATGAAAATTCAGTTTCTTCCATACACGGCAGTATGAGATTGTCGCAGACATCCTCTGATGAATCCTAAATTATCTTGCACTTGTTATTCATTTGTTTTTGTTAACTGTGCAACTCCATTGACCTCTCAACATGCAGATATTCCTGGGAGGGGTCTCACACATCTCATGGTGAAAGTTTTTAACAGATCATTTTTCCCTTTCACAGAAGAGACTGGTCAACATGAAAGGCTGAATACCTTGAGAGAGGAAGGAATAATAGAAGGAATGCAGCAAAGGAGGACAAGAACCATATAACTCCTACTTCAGCATTTTGCTAAGGAGCAGTGATGCCATCATTTATTCATTCATTCATTCAATTCGACAAACATTTATTGAGTGTAAACAAATTATTTTTTATATCTTTCTTCTTTCCAAAAAGGATTTTTGTGTTGTGTACACACACACCCAGTTCTCAATGTGAACATGAAGTAAACCTAAGACCACAGAATAACATATTACAGAAAAATGTAAAAAGTGGCTGATCATAGCTCAAGGTTTATAGAAAGTGCTCTGTAAATGAATGTGTTATGGGTTATGACAGGCACAATTCAGAGGAAAGGAGAACTCCCAGAAGAAAAGTGGTAGGATTGGTGAGTAACTAGAAGTGGAGGTCGCCCCAAGATTTCTGGCTTGGGCAACTAAGAGTCATTATAACAGATATAAAATATAGTCCAAGGAACAAATTTAGGGGGAAGATAATGAGTTCAGTTTTGGAAATATGGAGTTTGAAGGCAATATCCAGTTGGCATTTGGGTATACTGGCCTGGAGCTAAGGAAAGATGTTTCTAAACTGGAGGTAGAGCTTTTGGAGTTATCTGTTTTTAGGTGGTAGTTTAATATGTCAGTTGATGGGATTGCCCAGGAAGATTGAATACACTGAAAAGAAGGCCAAGAATAGTATAACAACTTTAATGGGCAGCACAAACAATGTGGAAAAGACAGAATTGGGAGTAGGGGCACAGAATTGCAAGAAAGAAACCAAAAGATGGTGATGTGACTGAAACTAAGAGAGGTGAAAATTTCAATGAGGATAAAAATAGATAGTGGTGGCAAATGCTTTAGAGGGATTAGTGAGACCAATTTAGAAATTGGAAACTGGGGAACAACTCAGATATTTCCAGTAATGTAATGGAAGTGAAAGCCAGAATTCAGTAGGTTGAAGAGTGAATGTCAGGGAAAGATGCATAGATGTTAAGTGCATCTTTCAAGTTAGGTTAAGTCTATTAAATCCCCAAATTGTGGTCTCTGGCCAAGGAATTATATTTTGCTACTAGGAATTATCAGAGATGTGCACAAAAATGTACATACACAGATATTCATCAAAACATTATTCATAATGATAAAAAATTGGAAACAACCTTCATGCTCAATTATAACATTGCTTAAGTAATTTATGATTTTGTCATATGATAAAAAGTATTCTGCTGTTAAAATTTTGTTCAAGAAATATACAAAAATAAAAAATGCTTGTAAATATGTTCTCTAAGACATTTGTATTGAGACCATATTCATTTTGTAATTTTGGAGAAAGTTATTAAAAATGCTGTGTATACTCGAACTAAGCCTGGCTATAAATTTAGGACATAGATAAGGCAGTTAGTGGAGAAGTTAAGTCAAGGAATAATTTTTCTTTTCTTTATTTTCATTTTCCTCCTCTATTCTCCTTCTTACTCTTTAATTAATTAGAGACGCTGTGTCGTGCTTATTTGCTCAGAAGAAGGAGCCAGTAGAGAAAGGCTTAAAATACTGAGGACTGGTTGTGGGACAGGAGTGAATAAGTGAGAAAGCAATATTCATCTGAAGTTGGGAGAAAATCAGATCCAGAAAAGAGACAGAGTGTAATGATAAGCAAGAAGGAAGATGGAATGGGGGAAGATGGAATGGGGGAGGATATAAGTAGATAGAGACAGGAGAGAAAATTTGAGAAATGTTCATCCAATGTGCTTTACTTTTTTTGTGAAAGAGAAAACTAGATCATCCATCTGGAAAATATAAGTGGGGCATGGGTGGGGCTGAAGACTAGAGAAGGGGTGAAGTTTAGGAATAGGATCATTTGCAGGGAATGAGAAAGGACACATGAGTCTTACGAATAAATTTTATAATGCATGCCTTGTTTCCTTTGATATCAATTCCGTGATAAGACAAAAAATAAAGGAGAACAGAGTCCAAAAATTGTGAGATATGGTGCCCATTCTTATGGAACTTACATCTGATTGGGGAGTTGAACCATAGGCATTCGAAAAGTTAATTACATTACAAGATAATTTTGCCATAATGATGAAAGTGGCATAAAGAACCAGAGAAATGATTGATCACTTACAATTGGAGTAGTCAAGGAAAATTTTATATTTTTACATTGCTTTTTGTATTTATTTATTTCTATAAAGTAGGCACTGTCATCTTCACATTTCTTGGTACATGACAAGCACTTAATAACCATCACTAAATGGACTAAAGAATAAATTAATAAACAAATAAAGTAAGGTCTAAATGGGTGGAGGGGTAGAAATTCATTTCAGTAGGATTATGGCAACATATAGAAACATTAAAGAATGGAGAAAAGAAAGGAGAAAAGAGTATTTCCTGAGTATATACATGTCAGGCACTGTGTTATATGCTTTCACCTACATTAGAGACTCATTTAATTGTCCCTATAATTCTGTGAAATAGATATAAATATCTCCACTTCAAAAAATAAAAAAGTTACAGAGAGATTAGGTGACTTGCTCACATAGTGAATAAATGTCATCACTGGGACTGGAATCTCTGAACACAAGGGTGGTTCTAGGGCAGTAAAGAGATGAGTTTTCATATACTCCCTTGTGAAAATGTGGCTCTCTCCAGCTTGACTAGAGCACATTGTGTTTCTCTACCTTTAAGCTCCTGTAACTACTAGTTACATCTCAATACATGGTGGTGTTGATGGCTTGAGTTCCCAGTTTTCTTCTGGAGTAGCTCATGTCTACAAAGCTGAATATTACTGTAACCCATGGTGACTAGGCCTCTCCTCCAGGGCATGCAGAGGGTGTGGCAGTGCAATCTTCACCACAGGCTGGGCTTAGAGTTCATAGTGGAGACTGGAGGTGATACACAGTTTAACCTGACTCAAGTTCAAGAATATTTAGAGATAAGCCTATTGGATAGAAAACCAGGAGGAGGATGGTTCCAGGAACTCTTAGGAATGTCTTTGCTGATCCCCTTCTCTATCCAGTTAGATGGCACTGGAAGAGTAGAAGCAGCCACCTCTGTACCCACAGTCCACCAAGAAGTCCACCAAGATTCCTAGCTTGTCCACTCCTCCTCCAGGTCTTCCAGCTCTCCCTCATGAGTGCTGTGAAGCTCCCTGAAGAACCTTAACCTTGCGGCAACCGTGTCATCTTGCTCTAGTAAATTGGTATCACAGAGCACTGGTAGGTGGCTTCTTGCACTTAATTAATTTTTATAAAATATGATAAAGTTTTTGCTCCAAGAGAACAAATTTTGTCTTCTAACAGATACATAGGCCAAATAAGAATGTAAAACTAAAACATATGTCAAAATTGCATCTTTAAGTATTCATTCATACAGTTGCCAAGAATCATCTATTTGAAAAATTTCCATGTATTAACAACTAAAAGCCATAGGTAACTTAAATAAATGTCTAATCTTTTTGCTAAAGGCTCAAGGTTTTTTTTTTTAAAAAATCATTTTTGTTTCTTTTTGAGTTCAGAAAATAAAAATTGAGGCATATTGGAAAACTTTTTTTCTTAATATAAAGTATATTTCCTAAATTATAGGACATGCAGTGACTAAAGATAATATAGACATCAAAGTTTCCAAGAAGCATTAAAGAAATAAACAGAAGTAAAAACTTGAGCATCATTTTGGCTGCATGTTTGTGTACAATTGAGAGTATTTAGGATAAATTCTTATATGTGAACTTGCTGTATTAATTATAAAAAATTTTGTAGATATTGCTGTCATATTGCAGTTTCACATCCTCAAGTTTAATTCATTTTAACACACTTATCTAACACACTAGTATTTAACACATTTTTTTGAGTCTTTCCCATGTTCAAAGTATGTCATTAGGGCTTGAGACAAAAAGTAGATAGAAGGTAATCCCTCCACTGAAGGAGTTCCTAATGGGGTGGGAAGACATCAGCATGAAAATCAATCATGACAACAGAGCTAGAGAATGTATCAAGTACATTGGGTAGTTAAAGGAAGCAGTGAATGATTATGCCTGAAAGTGCTGAGAAAATCTGCTCAGATAAAGTGACATTTAGTGAGGACTTTGAAGATAAGTAGAGGTCCACCAGATGGAGAATAACTTGGTACTGCTAATGAAAAGAGATATAGCAGAGTCAACATGGTTAAGCTGGATGTGGGGAGTTTGGTGGAGTGAGTGAGATGAGCTGGAAAAAGCAGGTTTGAGTCAGAATGCATATTTTGTTCTTTTGACAATGGGGAACTTTAGAAGTTATTTAAACAAAGGAGGGACAGTCTTATGTCTTTGCTTAGCGTAATACCTCTGCTAGCAGTTTTGTGACTAGAAGAGAGAAAGACAGAAGATAGGAAGGTATACTAGGAGGCCATTGTCATAAAGGAGCAAAAATAAGGCAGAAGAGTGTGGAAGAGAAGATGAATCTAAATGGTACTAATTGGGTGAAATAGTGAGGATTTGGTAAACCACTGAATGTAGGGTGCTGCTAATGAAGTGAGGTCACTCTGAGTTTCAGTTTAGATGACTGGGTTGATGATTATGATGATGATTAGGAGAATAATATGCTTCGTGTTGAATGTATTGAGTCACACCTCTTAGACAATTGGATGTGGATCAAGAATGTGTGTGGGTCAAGAGGATAAATACTTCCAAAGATGAAGACTTGGGAGACAAAGCAAACACATGGTAATTGAAGCTGAAGGAGTGGGTAAAATTCCCCGGGAGAACATAGTAGTGATAAAGAAAGAGGAATCATTTTAGAATATCAAGTTTAGTGGACAGTTGCAAGAGGAGATTTAATGAATTGGAGTCAGAAAGTAAGAACCAGAAGAGAGGACTGTGACAGTGCTTAGGGAAGAAAGAGTTTGAAGAGGAAGAGTTTGGTGAATAGCAAAATGCCATAAATAAATAAACTAAATTAAACCTAGTGATTGTATTATCAATGTTCTCCAGAAACACGGAACTAATAGTATCATCTTTCTATCTATCTATCTATCTCTATCTATCTATCTATCTATCTATCTATCTATCTATCTATCTATCTATCTATCTATCTATCTATCTATATCTATCTATCTATCTATCTATCTATCTATATCTATCATCTATCTATCTATCATCTATCTATCTATCACCTATCTATGTAATCTATCATTTATCTGAGTCTGAGTCCAAAGGGAGAAGATACGTCCCAGTTCAAGACAGTCAGGCGAAGAGACAGAATTCTCCTTTATTGCCTTTTATTCTATTCAAGCCCTTAATGGATTGGTTGAGGCCCACCTACATTAGGAATGGCAATCTGCTTTACTCAGCCTACCAACTCAGATGTTAATCTCATCAAAAAACATCCTCACGGTCACACCCAGAATAATATTTAATCAAATATCTGGGCACCCATCGCCCAGGCCAACTGATACATAGAATTTACCATCATAGCAGTGAAAAATCACTAGTGACCTGATCAAGAGGGGTTCCAGTTGATGATTCTGGTCATATGCAGATATCAAAGGATTGAGAAATAATGAGGAAATGAGTAAATAGAGACAGTAGGTGAAGACTTCCCATTAAGGAAAGTTAGTTGACAGGACAAGGAAGAGAAAAAATTGAGAAGATGAGTTGAGATTTCTTTTAAGGTGAAGGAAATGTGAATATGTTTAATATTTATTGGCTTGGACAGGCAGTTGTGAAAAGCAGGTGATTGAAGTGACAAATGGGAAGAAGAAATGATAGGGCAAGATACTGAGGAAGTGAGAAAGGAATGAAGTTTATATGCAAATAATTAGAAATTAAGCAACCTAATGGTAATAATAATAACATAATAAAGTGAGAAATATGTTCCATTGCCCAAGTATTAGGTTTAGGTTTTCAGCATTCAGAAATGTGAAAGATTCATAGAGAATTATACCCCAATACCTGTTCTATACATGTATGCAAGAAAGTGAATGATATCAAATGATTACAAACACAGGTGGTGTGATTTTTTTCAGCTGACTCAGAGTATGAGACTTGATCATTATAAAGGTGTCAGGAACACTATCTTGAATTGCTATCTAAAGTCCCTGCCTAATTCTCTGGCTACGATCTCAAATAGATATCAAGTCAAAGAAGTCACTTAGCTCAGAGAAAAAATGTAACAGAAAAATCTTCAAGTGTTATATAGATTTTTCAAGAATGACATAATCATCTTCTATAGCATTCAACCCCAGAATGGAAGTAAAAATGAAAGATTACTCTGAACATATGCAGAATGTCATCATTATGCAGAATCGAACACTGAATTG